TATTTTTTTTTATTTTTTTTTTTCCGGGCTTTCTTAATACTTATTGGTGTTAATGATTACTTCCTGTCGATGGTTGCTTCCTAGATATAACTTATTAACGGTAACGTGCATATACTTTTTTTGAATTATGCTGCTTTTTTAGGAAATATTCTCATCATTTCCAAAGAATTGTAGATTGGATCTATCTCCAATTCGTTGTAACTAATGAAGCGCACACCGTGGTTATTATCGGTTGATCATGCCACACGTCTCACATGCGCCCTCCTTTCTGCCAAGGAGGGTCGTGTCCGTATACGGCTTAGAGATCTCTAGTTAGACCGTTAAGCCAGTCCCTAAAAGGTGGGGTTTAGTGGGTAAAAGTCTCCACATAACCACGCAGCCGGCTGCGTGGTATGCTATGAGCATTCCCCACCTTCCTGGGGTTGGGTGAGAGTTGCCCATATTTGCTTCGGGTGCAAAAAAAAACGTCTCACATTATTTAAAAATGGTCCCTGCTAAATGGCTATAAAGTTTACAACCATTTACCTAACCTAATACGATAAAGCCCTACAATGTCGTAAATTTGAAATAGTACTTAAGAAAGTGATTATTGTAAAAACATATTATAATTTGAATGAATATTTTAATGATAAATTATAAATCAATTTTAATTATTTGACAAAGTTCTTTATTTCTATTTACTTATTTCACGTTGTTAATATTTTCTTAAAAAATTTTCAAACCTTATTTACGCAAAATAAATGACGAATGATCAATAGTTTACATATAATATTTATTGAAATATTTATATTAAAAAATAATTATTTTTAAAATAAATGTGTGTATTATGTAGTAAGCTAATTAATACTATTTAGTTTGACATTTTGTAAATTAATTAATAATAATCTATATATTGTTAAATATTGTAATTTAATGCAATTATATATTAACTAGTACCCGGATGGGCGAGCTTTGCTCGGTTTTTTTTAAATTACATTTATAAATTACATACTGATGAAACATAAATAATATTTTTTGATCTTATTGACAGAATAAAAAAAACTGAACTGGTATTTGAATAAAAATCATGAGTGCAATTAGTCTTATTAAAATTTTCGTATTTTTAAAAAATACTAAAAAAAGGGCTTAAAATAATAGATTTTCTCACAAAAGAAGGGAACTTGAAAAAAAAAAGGAAAAAGTCGGACCAGAGACAGGACGCGAACCACGATATCACGCCCGACCGACATCCCACCTGAGCTATTACGATCGATAGTAATCTGTCAAAATTTTCGATGATAATAATAACGACACAAAGTTTGACATTTTGGCAATATAAACTATTTAAAACTTTGGGTTAAAGTTTAATAACAAATTTATTTTCACCAAACTGGAAATATTCCAACGCTTTAAACTTCCAGCGGCTACTCTATTACGCCCCGCCGGGACTTTTAAATCGCCGGCTAAGTGTTATAAACTGCAATGTTAAAATACTTAATTTTGTATTTTTAAAGATTCCTTTTATATTAAAGTAATTTTATTGATTATTTATACATGCAAGTAAATAACTACGCTAATAAAATGTTATAAATATGCAAACAGCCACTTAATTGTATGTATATAGTTTTTTTGTCTTTTTTTAACAAGATTATAAAACGCCAGTGTGTGTGCAAATATAGGTGCACTCTCTATTTCCTCACTCTCTTAGTACCATAGAACAACAATGCGACAAGACTGGAGAGAGAATATTCGCAGAACCAACTACTTTACGTCCTTTCTGGAGCACGGGGGTGCTTCACCACCAACTTCCTAACTCCGACTACTCTGAGAATTTCTTGGCAGAAAGCTCAATAACTGATTTTCCCATCTCGGGTTTAGAAAGGGTGACCTCAAGATTGGTAATTGCGCTTACGACCACTAGAAAAAAGGCAGTTTAAATGTATCGTATGTAATTTAGCAGCTCAGAGGTAGCACTCGTCGTAAATTCATAGGATGCGTGAAATCAGAGTTAAATTCCAGCAAAACCATATTAAAGTGGGTATCGTAAGAGGCGACGGAGATAAATTAAAAACACAAAATAAAAAATGCGGTCTGCAAACCCACCTGTCAAGCGAGGCGACCGTGGAAAATACGAAACTTTGGTCTAGACCTGTGTTCAGCAATGGACTTCTAGTAGGCGGTAATGATGATAAATGATGAATATTTGTAATAAATTTTAACAACATCAGCATTGCCAATATTTTCTTATAAAAACGAGGTTGCGAGCCCCGCTTATTTCTATAAATTTTTAATCTTTACTCAAGGCTAAAATACTTATAACATACTAGCAACCCGTCCCTGCTCTTAGCTTTGCTTCGTGAGAGGAATTTCATAAAATTTGTTCTCAATTGATCTCAAGATGACAAAAATAATAATTTCGTCAAATTTCAAACCTGTAGGAGCTATTAGATTAAATATTTTAACGCATGTAAAATCCGTTCTTGATAATTTTTAACATGCCAAAAAGAATATTCTGGCCAAGTTTTATGCCTATAAGAGCTATAGTTTGAAAATATGTTTTTTTTTTAATTGACAACCCCGCAAATCCACTTGCTTATTAATAAATTAAAATTTTCAAGTACATTCTTACAACTTTACATATTATATAGACCAAGCTTTCGGTTGCAACATTTATATTCTTAATATTTTATAGCACAATATTGTAGCATTCAAATCCTCGTACAAAATAGAAATATTGGAATTTACAGTGGATGCGGAAGAGTAATATCGTTGGCTTTTGAAAAGTTTGATGATTCTTGTTCATCGAAGTGAGGGAGGGAGTGGGTGGTTGATATTTCAAATTGCATTTCCCTTGTGATTCATTCATGTTTGTAGTTGATTTTTTATATTTCCATTAAATCTCATATACAGCGTGCATTTACAAGTAGAATCATTCGAAGCATGGCGATAGGGGGTCTCAATAGCTATATATTTAAGCGTACGTACATAATTATTATTCTGCAATAGTCGACCGTTTGTAATTTTATAGAAAATTTCATCAAATCTGGGGATAAAACCGATATTTGTCTGAACAAAATGCGAGCAGATACGGCAGCTAAACAAAAAGTACATTTTATCGTAAAAAATAACTACGAACAAAACCATTAGTACGCATTAACTGGTGTTCAATGCAGTATAGAAATAAGACTATTATAATAGCAATTAAAACTGTAATATATAATATATGTCCTCCAGTATTATGGTTAAGTACAATAAATCTCCTCTAATAAAAGAACCAAAAGAGTCGCGTTTAAAACAGATTTGCTAACATGAAAGAGGACCGATTCTTACACTGTGCTTTGTCGTAGACTGAACAGTGAGTGAACACTAAAACCCGCCGGTCGCCGAGCACGAAGAATTTCGAGCAAAGATTCGGCATTACTTATCCCTGTCGTTCGCGCCTAAGTTTATTACCGTCGCGCTCGCACATATGCGGTAAGCAAACCTTTTAGCTATAACTATAAACTTGTTCTTATGCAGAAGTTCCTAGGTTTGTTTCACATTAAATATTTCCTTATTTTTAAACTACAGTTTTATCGACTTTCAGCATTGAGATGCGCTCGTGCATGGCTGGTGTCGGACTCAGTTAAATAGTTTTATGAAGTTAAGTTGGTTACTTATATCTTTGTGTTGCTTGTGAAAATGGCAAAATTATATAAGTCACGTCAAAAGAATCAAAATTTGATATAAATTTAAACCGACAAAACTTATGAAATTTATTCATCATTAAATATTTTCCAAATGCTAAACAAAAAGGTACACGTTTAATGTATCTAAGCCATACCAAGTCAGCCAAACAATAAAGCTGTTACTCTATACAATCGGTAAATATGGATAAATGTGCTTAGTAGGCACATTAAATACTCAGTAACAAACAATATTTTATTATTTCTCGCTTTCTACTTCTTAACTATATTTTACAGAATCGCACCCTCAGAGCAGTAAATTCGCAGTAAGTTCGCACTTTATCTCATAATATTTTCGACCACTGACAGTAGGCACTAAGATCAATATACTAATAAACATAATGAGCTTTCATAGAGTTCTTTTGTTGTGTATAACATGCAATGTTGTAAAGGAAAATTGTAGGGACTTGAGAAGGACTTGATGTAGGTGAGATCCCCAGACATTTACCATTTATCAAAATGCAGATGCTTTGTTACCCCTGAGAACTAAGATTGATTCCCTTGTTTCCATTAAAAAGGTTCCCCGGTTATCTTTCCCCACCAAACGAAACAAAGCAGAATTAAACCGCTATTTCATGCTGGTATTCTGTGAGAGCGTGGTATTTCTCTGGTCCAGCTGACCCATACGTGCTACAGCCGTAAAATAGCTGCAGCATGGCTCTACGACGAATGATGAACTCACACATGAAACACAAATTAAAAAAGTTATACTAAGATTTGAGTTGCGTGTGTGATTTTGAGTGTGCGTGTGTTCAGCGCGTATGCGTGCGTGTGTTCAGCGCGTATGCGTGCGTGTGCGTGTGCGTGTGTGTGTGTGTGTGTGTGTGTGTGTGTGTGTGTGTGTGTGTGTGTGTGTGTGTGTGCGTGTGTGTGTGTGTGTGTGTGTGTGTGTGTGTGTGTGTGTGTGTGTGTGTTGCGTGTGTGTGTGTGTGTGTGTGTGTGTGTGTGTGTGTGTGTGTGTGTGTGTGTGTTCACATACAAATTTCAAACATAATTCAAACACACACTGTTTGCGTGAATGTGTTTAGAAAATATCGGATAGAGTAATAGTTTTTTAAAAGTTGTATCCTTTATATTAGTCATTACTGTGTTTATTTAAATTCATTATGTAACACGAACATTTTCACACCGACTTAAACGAAACTTTGAGTACCAGCTGAAAATCAGTACCATTTCAAAACTTAGTTTTCACAATAATAGCTTACAAAATCTGTTATTGCTTGTGCTTATTATTATTAATAAGAATAATAACATGAAACGGCACCGGGTCTGGGCATCTTCCGTTAAATGGCGCCCATGAAAATGGTGACGGAATCTAATAGAACGCGGAAAGGGCCGCTGTCTGGAGATCGCCAGGGCGCGTCTGGAGCTGGCGCTGAACACGACAGCATGCGAACCGCTAACCGAGAGCGATGTGCCGCTCGATCTCCAGCAGCCCCTCGCATCCATCATCCCCACCAGCTGGCTTGGTGGCCTTCGGGGTCTTCGCGCTCAAATATATTTGATATCAGCGAACTTGAACAGCTACGGCGTGAGGCTGTTCCCTCATCAGATGAAAATGCTACAGCTGAGGATGTGGCGCCACAGCTAGCAGAGCAACCGGCAAACGTGGATGCCGCCGTGAATACCCCAGTTGTGGTTAATTCAAACGATGATGGAACAGTCGCCCAAGAACTGGAAATGGAGAAAATGAGGAGTATGTCGGAAGAGGCGATTGCGGAAACGCGCAGTACGCCTCTCGAAAATCGACCGCGACTTCCCCGCATAGCCTTAAGCAAGCGGAATTGAGCTGTCGTGAGGGCTCTAACGCAATGCTGGTGACCTATTTGGAAACCAGCCGGGACCTTTGCGAGACGAACTCAATTCTTTTTAGCGCCGCACTGGCAGTCTACCATATTATAGGCGCCAAGGTTACCACCAGAGATTTTTCCGAACCAATACGAGTTAGGGACCTTCAAGACAGGAGCCTACTCCTTTTTAAAAGACCGGCAACGCATCTGTAATTCCCCTGGTGTTTCAGTTATTCATAGGCGGCGGTAATCACATACCATCAGGTAAGCCGTATGCTCGTTTGCCCCCTCTCCTATAAAAACAAATATGGTGAGCGTAAAGAAGACCCTTTTTACTGGAAATGAGGCACTCCATCTCAGTCCTCAGAGGTGACAACGCATCTGCAATTTTAATCTTAATTGAAGATAAATGTAGGTGTCTATGAGCCACAGAATCAATTTACCATTAGGTGGACTAAGTGCTCATTTGTAACCATTATCCTATTTAAAAAATTATGTTTTAATACCGCGGACAATTTATAAACGCCGTCAAAAGGGAAAAGCTCCAAAATGCGTATTAAACCGGGCTTACACGCTTGCCAACTGTTCTAGCCTATGCAAAGGACTGTTGCTTAGATGTTGTGACTAACGAAATACAACCTGACCCAAAACGTAACAATAAATCTGAGATTTCATTGTAGTATTCCGCGACAAAGTAATCAAAGTTATGCGTTAGGCCGCGCCGTGGTATTCTAAAAAAATATTGTTTATGGGGCTAAAATTTCTTATAAGGACTGTAGAAGTCCTTTCCCGAATTATTGCCGCATTTGGTAAAATCTTATACTTAGTAAAATTTTTGAAATCCCTAGTTAAAAATTATATTCATGAATAACTGCCATCTTCATCCATCATCTTTTGAAACAACCTTGTAAACAATATTACGTTGTTTGCATAATAATTTCGTGTAGACATCTGAAAGTTAACAGAATATACAAAGCTTCGTAATTATTAGCAAACATTGGCGTATACAACTTAATATTCTTTCTGTTTATATGATTAAATATTTTATTTATTTATTTATTTATATCTATTAGCTAAACCTTAATATAATTTTCTTAGATTAATAATAAGTAAATTATAACCCATCACAAGTCCACTGCAGAACAAAGAGTGACGAAGGAAGTATAATAGGCATGGTCCTGAGCCACCACCATTCTTTAACTTCTTGCATAACTTACCAGGCCTCCTCATGTGGGTAACAAACTACACTATATTTTTCCTTTTTTCACCAACGAGTGATCGATTCTTGATACTTCGTATATTTTATACTTTTCTTTCTTCGATATATTTTATACGTGGTAGAACCATGATGCAGTTATATTAGATGTATAGTTGTTGGCGACGCGTCCATAAGAATATTTCAATTTATTAGTTAACCGATTGCGAACAGCTTCTAAAAACAAATTATCGAGCAATAATATTCTAATAAGAAAACACTTAGATGAATCTTAAAGAAATATTGAATTAATAATTTGAAGGTCTTGGGTTCGATTCCCAGGCCGGACTAGTTTGTCGTTTTCTTAGTAATATTTTCTTAATAAATTCATATAGGGAATTTTTAATATATAAATTATGTTTCCGGATTCAGTTCCCCGGTTGAAATCACCTTTCCAATAATATTGTTAATTTAAAGGAATATTAAAATAAAGTTAGAGACCAGGATTTGTTCCCCGGTCGAAATTATCACTTTGTGTATAAATAGAATTAATGGAAATTAATTGCATAAGAATTATCTTATATGAGTTTAATACGTTTTGTATGAGAGTGAAATGTTTGTTTTCAATGTTTGATTCATGGAATGTTTGTTTGTGTTGTCTGGTGGGGAGCATGATAACTGATAAAAATCTAGTTAGAAATAATTTCCTACAATTTGGGAGTCGTGTAGAATCAGTTGTTCACCTAGTATTGGTTGATGGCAGTGTGTGCTAAATTTGCCACCTTTTACCGACAGTTGAGAGTCGTGTAAGAATTAGTTGTTCAAATAGCGCTAGTTCATAGCCGCGCGTTAACCTTGTACTTAGGAGGTTAAAATAAGTAGAAATTTAAATATTTGCAAATTTCAGCAATTTATGTAAAATTTACTTGTAAAATATTTCAGATTGACTGTATGAGCAAAATAGGTGAATTCTGTGTTATTTTCACGTGAAAATTCCTTTGGATTAGTGAAATATTGATAGTTTTGTGTAAGAAATTTAAAGGTGTTTATATAGTAAAATGTATAGGAAAAATGTAAATTAAACTATTGTATTAGTTAAGATATTTACATTTTCAAATGAAGAACATTCAATCTTATATGTTAGATATAAGAATTCTAACTTAGTACATATGTTGTAAAATAGGCATATTTTGTTGAATGAATAAAAGGTTTTTTGTGATATAAAAATGTAATGTATGTCATAGTATAGATATTTTTGTGCTATCTTTATAAATAAAATGTATAAATGTATGTCTTATACAAGTAAATATATTGTGCAAACCGTGATACCGAGAGTGATAGTACAAATTGATGTAATTAAGTAGTGTAATCGCACAGAGGGCGCGGCTCTCTTTCGCGTATAGCTTGGTGATACCTCAGTAAACTGGTTTTCATACAAATCGTTCGGGACCAGCTACCAGTATATAATATTGTTACGCGCTCCAGTCAACGATACACTAGCGCCATCTAGTGTCAGGAACGAGAGCGAGGGGAGCATTGAGAAAATGACATCACAAATTACTCAACCGACAGCGCCTAGTCGAAACTCGAACGCTCGGTACCTTGCCCGTGTTTACTTGAACATTCTGGATATTTCTTTGCTGATTCAAATATATAGGCGCTGCAAGATGCGATCGGAGTAGTGTTGATTTGGCGAAACAAGCGAAGCTTCGGAGTGGAATTAAGTGAATTAGTGTCTTTAAATTATTAGTGTTTTAACTTTAATTGTGTAAAGTAAATTAAAGTGTTAATTTAGGTAATTTTATCGGCAATTTTTATTGTCACGAACCTCAAGCTCGTAACAATTGGTGTCAGAAGTGGGATAAAATCATGCCGATTTTACCTAAGGAGGAAACGGAGGGTGTCCGTACCCACAGTCAACGCCAGCATGAGACGGACCAGAGGAGATTTGGTGGTGCAACGCCACAGACGTCGGAGGGCCAACTGCCAGCCACGGAGGCTGCGGGCCCGTCATTAGCTCCTACACCTGCAGCACCTGACTTAGGTGCTCTGATGGCGATGCTACAGGAGCAGCTGCAGCGCGGACGAGAGGAACAGGCCCGTCTGTTAAAAGAGCAGCAGGAGGAACAGGCTCGCCGACAGGAGGAACAGGCTCGCCGACAGGAGGAACAGGTCCGTCGGTTGGAAGAGCAGCTGCGGGGCGGCCAGGAAGAACAGATGCTTCTCATGAAGGACCTTCACGCTACCTTCGGGAAAGAGATAAGGGAGGTGAAGGATAAGGTTGCTCAACATGATAACCGCCTGTCGGAAGCTGAGACCCAAATCAACCAAGTTAAGAAAACGCTGGATGAACTCAAACTTGGGGATGGAACCACAACTCCCGTAGTAGCTTCAGCACCTTCGCTACGTGGGTTCAAGGTGCCACCGTTTGACGGGACTTCTTCCTGGTCAGCCTACAAAATCCAGTTCGAGGCTGTTATGAAGGCGAACGGCTGGAATAAAAGTCAGGCCATGACTGCTCTCACACTAGGCCTGCGCGACCAGGCCTTAACAGTTCTGGAAGCTCTCGGTGAGGAAGTGACTTATGAGCAACTCCTTGAGGCATTGGAGGCGAGATATGGCGACGCTCACCTGGAACACGTCTTTCGTGCGCAGCTTAAAGATCGTGTGCAGCGCATCAACGAAAACCTGCAGCAGTGGGCTCTAGAAGTGGAGAAACTGGTGCGAAAAGCATACCGGTCTGTACCTGCGCTCATTGAAGGGAACCTGGTGCAGACATTCATCGACGGCATCCGCGACCTGGAAGTTAGAGCTGCTGTGAGGCTCGGGCACCACGAGACGCTTAAGGACGCCTTGGCCCATGCACTGGAGGTAGAAGCCGTGCGGCAGGATCATCGTTCCCATCGCGTCAGGGAGGTTGCCGCCGCTACAGTTCGCGACCGCAACAAAGGATACAGCCCAAGGTGCTATGGCTGTGGGGAAAAGGGCCATCTTCGAATCAGCTGCCCTAAGCGAACCGTTGAAAGGAGAGTTGATCGATCTCGAGAGGGTAGTGCAGCTAACGACACTGCCTGGCGGCGACAGGATCATCGTTCACCTCACGCTAAGGAGGTTACAGCAGTTACGGTTCGCGACCACAATAGAAGATACAGCCCTAGGTGCTATGGCTGTGGGGAAAGGGGCCATCTTCGGTCCAGCTACCCTGGGCACACCCTACGAAGGGAAGGTGAACGGTCTCAGAAAGGAAGTGCGGCTAACAGCACCGCCCAGCAGCAGCAGGAATACGACTTTACTATCAGACACTGCAGCGGGAAATCTCACGGCAACGCAGATGCATTGTCAAGAAGACCTTGTCCTGAAGATTGCAACCATTGTAGTAGGCAAGAGAGTAAGGAGGTGGTATCCGTGAGGATGCTCAGGACAGACCACCTCAGCAACGAGTGGAAGGACAGCTTACTACATGCACAGCAGGAAGATCCGGACATCAAGCCGATTCTGGAATGGATAAAGGCCAGCGCTCCCAAGCCCAAGTGGAGTGACGTCTCAGCGATGAGTTCAACCACGAAAAGCTATTGGGCCCAATGGGACAGCTTGCTGATTCAGGATGGAGTCCTGTGCCGTAAATGGGACAATGGTCGAAGAGACAGCTGTCGTTTGCAAATGGTTGTCCCTAAAGCTAAAGTGCCGAATGTTCTACAGTTGTGCCATAATGGTCGTTCAATAGTCCATCTGGGAGTTAAACGAACTCTACTGAAGGTCCGAGAACAGTTTTACTGGGTCCATTATCGTGACGATGTCGAGGA